ACGGAGACTTGCCACGGTCTCCAACCCTCCTCCTTTCTCATCCGAGCTTGGGACCGGCCATGGCGGAGTTGATACCGCGTCGTTTGAAATGTAAACTGAATCATGGACGTTGCAATCGTTTGATTGAGCGTTAAATAATTTTTTGTATAGATATACATCGCCTTAATATCCGAATCCGAATTCTTACTTCATATTTGTCATAAACTCAGAATTAAGATCACAGTCTTCCACGGAGATGCTTCGTTGTCTTTTGTGTTGCCATTTACAATTGAATCTTCATTTCCTAAACTCTAGTCTGCAGTTTCCATACTTTACCGATCCCTTTTCTCTACCAAATCGACATAATCTGTTACAACACCTCACTGCTGTTTATTTTGTTTATTTCTGGAACCTCGGTGACTTTAGCGCAACATCAGGTCATAAATCAGTTATCCCGGTGGCCATTGATCACGTGCGCTTTGCGACTGTGCGTTTTAAACTTAAATTCGCAGACACAGCTAATCGGCTCTCCTCTCTAGGCTTTCTAATGTAAGTTAATTTAGGTTTAATTAAAGCTAAGAAAGTTTTTGGTACCGTATAATTAATGCCCAATGGCACTAGCACTCATCACTAGAAGCTTATGCATAAGCACTGAATACATATGCAAAATTAAATGCACTTAAAGGTTAATTGATTAATATCTCTAGAAATATGGCTCGATGTTAGATGAAATGTCTCGTTAGCTAATCGATGTATTGTCGAGTGTTATTAAAATCATTGCCGTGAACAAGTACATAATCTTGAAGTTTACATTCGTAAAGAATTTAGAGCCTAAGTAAATTAAATGCTTGGCTTCTTAATTACTCGCTTTTTGTGCGATTGCATAAATTTAATTTAATGAATTCAGTCTGTTCAAATATGATTCCGAATGGAGTAACCGAAATAGCCGGGCAATCAGCGTCAATCATCCGCTGCGAATCACGACATTCCTCGTCCCAGTTGTAGGTGTGTCGGCATCAAATGAGCTGCATGGTGGTCGGCCACCGAGGGACGTTTCGGCCGTGGAATGATGTCGCTAACGCAGCTGGTCGAAAGCGCTGCAGCGTCGCGATGAATCATCAAGTAAAGTTTAACTTAGGGGTCAAAGTGTTCGACACTCAGTCAGAAAGGGCACAACAACAACACCGCTTTGCTTCAAGCCGTGACTGGAACTAAGTGAACTAGTGTCAGAAGTTTAACGGAAACAACAATGAATTTTCAAGCGATTTTACTATTAAACACGCGTCAGAACTAAAGGAAATAATTATTATAATGCGTATAATGATGAATGACGCATGAACAACCATCTGCCAGCTGAATAAATTTACTAAGCTTCAAAATATTATGATGCAAAATTACTACGGCTACGGGAATCCACTCCATGGTGCGAAAAGTCTCCGCTCATCGACTAGATTCAAACCTCCATCCGCACCACCGGCTCCACGCCACCCGGCATATGTCTTTGACGGACACCTGGCCCTCCGTCACATTGTAGGAAAGAGGACAAACACATCATGCTACATAATGACGATTACAAACCGACTGAACGAAACGTATTACGAATGAATGATTGAAACAAATAAAATTAGTATATGCATATCACACAGCTGCAAGATATTACGATGAGAATTTATTACAGAAAGAGTAATCTACTCCATTGTAGAAATATACCCACCTCGTTTTCTCCTTCCAGCACGTCCACGTCAGTTTTACGTCACTAAGCTCACTTCACCCCCGCAACTGCAGCACAATTGGTTGGACATCGGAAATAAGTATCATTTAGGCAAAATTTTCTTAAATTTGATTGGCTGAAATTTAACTCAGAGTGTATAGCACAAATGATCCGGTTTGAAGTTTAGATAAAAAGTTTTACAAACTGTCTAATGGGACAACACCTCAAATCTTGGTCCGGTCAAGTAGAGCTGGCCGGCTGGCCTCCATAAAAACAATTAGAATTGCAAAGAACTGTCGAACTTGCTCTCATTGTAACGCGGTCCATTCTTCAACATGGAAACACATTAGTTTCTGCTCGTTCGACATGCAGTCGTTGCGCTACTGAACCTTTCTATCCGATGCATGAGATTTCTTTTCGACATTTTTTAAAGGATTTCGCTAAGTGTGATTTGGCGGCGATCTCTGGCTGAGCTAACCAAGGTTGGTTTCTGAATTCCTGGATGGGTTGCTGTGTGGACTAATACTTACTACCTCTGTATCGACCGTGGAAGTTCTATGGAGGGTCTTAAAGACCTCGTACAGACATCACAATGGAATCATAAGATGAAAACCATTGGTACTCGCATATAAGTTCCATTGACAGGTAGTACGAAAGGCGAAGTCAAATTATTGATACAGATGAGTATCTGCCAAAAATATCAATTCATACTCCTGATCGCACGCTGCACGCTGACATATTGACATGCACAGTCATCATAATGGAATTGCAGTAAAAAATTCACCGGTTTGGCAACGACATCGTTCTTCACTCACAAAGAGCTACCCATCGCATACAGCACCGTTGGCCGAATGAGGCAATTCATACAGTCGACCACTGTCCAGGTAGGTACACAGATTCAATGTGCCGACTGCAAGACCGAACGCTGACTCCAACCAGCGGTCTGTGCAAAATCTGCTACACCAAAGCGTCCCTTTCCGAGGAGGAAAAATAGAGGGAAATTTGCGTTCTTAGAGGGATATTTTCTTCTATAATGCAGTAAGCGGTATCTTATAGCAAGTGTTGAAAAGCCTGCGAATGCAGAAAATATTGCAAGCCAAAAAGGTTTGAACTTCTGCTTTCACAGACTGCTGTTTAAAAGAACTTTTTGAGAAGCATGTTGCCTGCTTGTGCATATTACTGTTTGGATGTTTTTGAGGATTGTTGTTTACATTTTCACGGTTCACATGTTTACCAACAAGAACGCTTTGAATTGTTAGTCGTATTTACTTCTAGAGTGAAGGAACAATAATAAAGAGCTATCACGTTCTGGTCGAAAGCAAACAGCAAATAGTTGAAAATAAAATACAATTGTTCGCTGTACTTCTGCTGCTTCAGCGCCTTGCTGCTGCGGCGAGATGATGCTACCCCTTCTCAATGAATGAATCGGTTCTGTTTCTTCGGTCTGGTCCGAAAGCTGTGATCAGCTGCGCACAAAGGCCGGGTTTGTGGAGCCGCCGGACTGCGGCGGTGCGTGAAACTTTAGCAAGTACTTCTTCGTTATAGTCGTCAGTTTTTCGAGCCTGGCTGAAGGCTCGGAGGGCTTGTGAGAATCATTGGCCTCCGGTGCATGTTTGCTGGCGTTCGGTGCTGCCTCAACCTCGATGGTGCTGATTGGCCGCAGGTTCGCGTCGGCCTGCTTTCGCTCCCGGAAGCACGCCCTGACAGTCTGCGGATCAAACAGATGCAGGAACACGGGCAGAATTACGATGCCGTGAGTGACGCCGATCAAGATGACCAGGAACACGGTCTTGCAAAATGCAGTGACCATGTACGAGTCGACAGTGGACATGACCGCGACGCCGAGGA